ATGTATCAGCACTACCTGATAAGATGATTAAAAATCACATCCTCAGACTCTGTCTCAAATTTTTAGAATCTCACAATAAAGCCTAGAAATCTGTATTCTAACAAGTTTCTCAGGTGATACTTGGCAGGTATTTGGGAACTACTACTCTATTACCTATTTATCCCTTTAGTGCATACTAATAATATAATATACTTAGGTCCTCCATTCAGAAATTTCTCTAAACTCTTGTGTTCAAGGGGAAATAACTCATAATCTGTTCCCAAAAAGTATCATGACAATGGCCAAAATCTGTAAAAGTATAATCTCTGAAAACAGTACAGAAAACATAGCCACACAGCTTCCGCCAAAGGATATGGAATCATGAGCCCAAGTTTCCATAGTACTAAAGGTAATAATAACATCCAATTATGAAGGTCAGTTGCCCCCCCCCAAGGAAGCATGTGCAGCCCACCACTTCTCTTCAATTACATCTGATCATTTAAAAGGTAACTTAACAATTTAAGCTTCTTTTTCCAATTACCTAGTTGTAAAACGGCAGAAAAAATATTAGCCACCGAGCTTGCCACTTTTTGATAACATGTTATACACTTCTTTGGTTAATAAAGGGCAAACTGCCAACTAAAGTTCTCTCTAAATTCTGCAAACTAGAGCTGTCAGTATTGTTTTGCTGGCAGGGGCTAGAACATCTACTTCTTCGGCGGCATTTTTTAAAATATCTAAATGTAGCTCTTTGCAAAAAAAAGAAAACCAGCCACACATACAATTTCAGATCCATGCCACTAAGAGAAAAGTGGAGCAAATCTAAAGTTAATAAGCAGACCATGAACTCTTGGTAGGTCAGCTTTCTTTGTTCTCAAGAAGGCAAAAGCATCCAACTAAGTAGAAGGAATTAAAAATATAAAAAACTCAACAGAAATTCTAACTATTTTCTTATTACCTCTAGCTCAAACTATGAAACATTTTACAGTTAAACTAAGATCTGCCTGAAATAAATCCATTAATGTAAACCCAACCATAAACCAGAGTTATCATTTCTTATTAGTAACTGGGATATGAATAGATTCATACTAGAACCTGCTTCAATCTTCTATTTCCAGGGAAAACCAATTTTCTGAAGTCCTAAATCAGGGGTTCTTAAACTTTAATATACACAAAAAACCCACAGGGGTGGCTTCTGAAAGACAGATTCCCACCTCCACAGACCAGTAAGGTAAGGAGCTGTATCCAAGGATCTGTATTTCCATCAAGGTGTTCTAGAGATTGATGCTATCCTAATGTAAGTTTCCCAAAGGCTGCAAAAGGTTCAGTTACACGGTTATAATCCTAAATTTTAAAACTGAACAAAAATCATGTTTTTCCTATTTTTTTCTTCTGGATATAAAAAATAACTTTACGAGAGATTAAAAATAAACTTGTATCAGCTCTGATCCTAAATACATATTATTAGTACCTCAATCTCCAATTGCACAATTAAGTATATTCACTTAAAACCAAATTACTTATTATTTTTAATTAATTTCAGAGAGAGGGGAAGGGAGAGGGAGAGAGAAACATAGATGGGCCGCCTCCCACACACCCTCTACTGGGGATCAAGCCCACAACCCAGGCACACGCCCTGGACGAATCACACTGTCGACCTTTTGGTGCACGGAACAACACTCAACCAACTGAGCCACACTGGCCAGGGCAAAAACCAAATTACTTTAATGTAAAGTTCTCCAAAGCTCACCTACTTGCTGTGGGATCAATCATATCTTCAATAACTCAATCGTCCCAGATGCAAATCAGGGGACCACTCAAGATATTTTATTAAGTTATAACACTCTGCTCTCCAATGCAACTTAAGTTGCTTTGTTCCTTGCCCAAAGTCATCTACCTTTATAAAGGTCAACAATAATGTTGTTTTGAGCATGAAATAGAGAGAAAAAGAGTATTATGGACTGAAAAAGTTCTGATTCTTTGAGGGGAATTACTTTCTTAACATAAAACTGGCCCAGTTGATTATTATCTCTATTTTTTTAGTGATAGGATGAAGAATTAAAATGACCATCCCTATAAATATTCATATCTGGTAGTAATAAAACCACCATTTAAAAAGCAGCAGGCATGCTGGTATTATATATTTAGCTGTCAGTGTACTTCATATTTCCCTAATGTGCTGCTGCTTCAGATAGTGGCCTTACCCTGATCCTTTTGTTAATGTCTCTCATTAATGAGACTAACATGGGGGTAACTTTCTATTGGTACTACCCTTCTAATTTCTTAAATGTTTAACTCTGCTTAATAGTCTAAAAGCGTATTCTGTTCACAGAACTAATCTTTTGGCACAAAACAGCTAACTGAGCTTTAAAAACTCTTGTCTCAGACACACAGTAATCATTAGTAAACCACAAGTATGGAGAGGAAATGAAGTGTAGCAGAAAGAGTATAAGTTTTGGGAAACATTGGTATTTCAAGATGTTCTTGGGAGGATAGTGAGAGATAGGCATCATGGTATCTTCCTCCCTTGGACATCCACACTGCATATGCTTAGCATGTGAAAAGCCTCTGAGAAGTTCTGGAGTAAAGACACTGCTTTACCTCAACATGTCCCAATTTTGCTTGATCATGAAATTTTTTGTCTTCAATACATGATTTGAGCAAGAAAACTAACCTGAGACATTATTTCCTCCTATGCAAAAAAGATATAATGATACCAGTCTAGCTATCTCACAAATGATTGAAAGCAAATGAGTTGGTATTTGCAAACCATATGCACTGCTAGTTATGTTATCATTACTACTAAGTGAGTTCAGAAATAATCATTTCATTCTTCATGGGAGTCAAAAACAAAAATTGCTAAAGGGAATAAAATAGTAAATATATTTCCTCCAAAGGTTTCCCATTCTTAAAAGTACAACTGAATTTGAGTAATTCTCACATTAGTAATAAGCCATACAAAGGTACTGCCATCTGCAGGCCATAGAGATGGAATGCTTGCAATCGTTATTTAAAATGAAATCATCAGGCACTTTCTCATCAGACTTCTAAAGCCTTTCCAAAAGATGTTTATTCTTAGCTTTTGAGGACTTGTAGCTCCATTTGCTGAAGTCCTGAAACTGACTCTTGAGTAAAATCAAATTCTACACAGGGCTGTTGCTTAGAAATGTGAAGAAAATTACCTTAGCCTTACATAATTTCTATATTGTGCTCATACCAAAGCAATCCCAAGAAATATGGATATATATATTTTTTTAACACAGCATGAGGAAAAAAATCCTTGAATAGCCTGAGCTAACTTTTCAGAATAACCTTTCAATGAATTAAAGTGAATATGGTCTCTCACACACAAGAACAGAGATTATGAACAGACTACAAATAGAACAGACTGTTAGCTTATAAATAAGTTAATTTGTCAATGCCCTCTTTAAACGTGTGGTGTTTACAGGCATGGGACACTGAGTAACCTGCACCTAGAAAAATTCCTTCTACTGGGCCTTGCAATATGGTTTCTCCAGCACATTCTACAAGGAATTGCTGTTTCTATGTTCTAGGTTAAAATATTTTTGTCAGAGGTTTCAGACTATCTGGAGTTAAAAGAAAGGCAAAGAAATCAGAACGAAGGAAGAAACTGATTAGCAAACAGCCAAGTGATCTCCAATACCCACAATACAATGTTTGGGCTTTACCGGTTTGAAAAAGACAACACAAAGTTAGTTTTCACACCCAGACTGTTTCATCAGAAAATGCTAAATCTCGAGTTGTCAAAACCCCAAACTGCTCCATTAGCGTCTGCAGAAACATCTTTTTATGAACTGTAAAGTGACTACCACGACACAATGCTACAAGGAAACCGAGGTGGCACACTGGGTGCACTTGAGCGGACAGTTCCCCCAGACTATCACTTTTAAGTCAATAATGAGAACACTTTACAACCAGAACGCTTATAATATTAATTACTATCCCCAAAGATCCTGGGGCATTTCACACTCTGCTATGCCTCAGGGAAAAATTCTGTGCACAGAGGGAAGGCCAGAACAATTAACCCCATACTCCTAGGGCAGCGTTTCCCAAAGCGTGGAATGCAGAATAATTTCAGCAGGAACAAGGACACACTTTATTTTAATAGATAGGTATTTATTTTTTAATGAGCATTCGAAAAATAACCAATTTCCATTATACGGTTGTGATGTACGTTTCCACCTTAAACAAATATACGTAAGGAGGGGAAAAAAGGAGAGTCAGTTTAAAGGGAAAAATTAACATTTGGCAAAATAAACAGCAGTACAGACGGTACGCGAACGTAAAGGTGCAACGCGAGAGCCTGGAATTTGGGGAACGCCGTCCTAAAAAAAGCCCCTGGCGGGCTGTCCCGGAGTGAAAAGTGCCATGGGTCACCAGACAGGAGAGCTAGCAAGTTGGGGTGCTGGCTCTGTCGCTAACCTCGGCACAGTTTCTTTCCCCTTCCTCTGGGCCCGGGGTCCGCGTTATAAAATAGATTGGGGTGTCACATGACAAGGAGACGCCTAGAGGATGCTGTCAAGGGCCCGCGAGGCGGCGGCGATCCAGGACAGCGCTCGGTTCGCCGCACGGCGCTGTACGCCACGAAGAACGCCGGGTGAGGCGGACAGGCGCGCCCCGGGTTCGAATCCCGACTGCGCCACCGACTCGCCGAGGACCTGCAGGCGAGCAACTTCACCATTTTGAGAAGGGGGCGAGATGTGCAGCCCTACCCTACAGAGAAGCCTGAGCGGGCTATTGTCGGCGATTCGCGCACAGGCGGCTGCAGTGAGGCGCAGTGGGACCAGAGCCCACCACCGGCCTCCCGGAATGGCCGGGCCTGAGCCGCACGAGAGCAAGAGGCCGCGCCCCGCACCAGGCATGCGCAGCCCCGCGCGCACCCGGAGGGGGCCGCGGTGGCGCGTCAAGCGGGCCCTCCCGGCTCAGCCTCCCTATCCGGCCCGGGTCCCCCTCAACCGCCTGCTCGTCAGCCCGGAGGGCCACCGCTTCCCGGCACTCACCGCTACCGGCACGGCGGGCTCCCGGACGCTCCTTCGCCTCAGGCCCGCAGCCTCCACCTCCGCCTCAGCCCACCTGCTCGCCGTAGGACAAAGGCGCCACCAACCGACGGGCGCGGGCACGAGGCAATGGCGGTTGGGGCGGAGAGTGGGGGCAGAGGGCGCGCACGCAGCGACAGGCGCGACAGTGTCGCAAAAGCGCGCGGGTTTACGGCAGGGCTGAGTTGGGGCGTTGATTTCCTTAGCAATGAGGGCGGGGAAGTGGCTCCCCGGAGGCGGTTGAGAACGCTAGGGGTTGCCTAGTAACGGCGTCCCTGGCTGGGTCTCCCCAANAGGGCTTCGCCTTTCTTCTAATTTTCAGAGAGCCAGATTTCCTCTCTGTGAAAATAGATCCTATAAACCCTAAAGTACTTTGATTTAGTCTCGCGTAAAACTAAACAAAACCCCAAACACCTTAGAAGTGTGTATTGGAAAATATATATATATATATATATATATATATATATATATATATATATATATGTACACACACACACACACATATATATTCCTGTAACCTCCGGATCACAAGGAACAAAGCAGAGAGGTAGAAAAAATGTTTTATTTGGATTTACATTTAAATAGGCTGTGTATGTACCCTATTCGTTTCACTGACAGGAGGCAAAAGACTTCAGTGATATAGTCACAGATTCTTCTTGAATTATTTATTTTTCTTGGAATATTTAATGCCAAGAATAAATTTCCCAGAATGTAAATGTTGACTGTGAAGCATGTATAATGTTGTATTGTTTATTTAATCTATAGAATATATTTGTCACAGGAAATGGAATTCGTTGTAAATACACGCAATTTATCACATCTATCACTATATGAGTCAGGTAAGCTGTTTTATTAGTCAGGAAATGCCTCCAACCCCACGGGGTCTAGTTTTTCTCCTTGTGCCAAGTAAAAACGGTAGCTGTGGAATTTGAACACCAGGGGAAGTCAGATTTCTTTCTTTATTTTTTTAATCCTCACCCAAGGATATTTTTCCCCAGTGCTTTTCAGAGAGAGTGGAAGGGGTGGGGGAGGAACATTGATGAGAGAGACGCATCCTCTGGTTGCCTCGGGCAGGAGCCCTGTGCACTGAGCCTGCAACCACGGTGTGTGCCCTCGGCTGGACTCGAACCCGGGAGCCTTCAGTCTGTGGTGGGCCATCGCGCTAGCAACTGAGCCAAACCAGCCAGGGCTTCCCCAGGTGGTTTTGTTCACTCACTCTAGGTGAGAATTGTCAGGATTTTGTGGATTCACCTGCTTTCCTGGTATACTCGTGTGGGGCAGGTTAAGTACCACACTCGAATCAGTTCAGAATCTTCTTTTTCCTTCCTTGGTTACCCCTATTTGGATTCCTGTGCCATAAAGTTGTGCCCTTTTTGTCATTTGGTTGAACTGATTAGTTCTCTTAATTTTCTGATACCTTTTAACTTTTAAATTATTTTTTGGTTAGATATACAGGGATAGAGATTCTGTGACCCAGTTTCATCTTGCTATCTTTTTTTTCTTTCTTCTTTTGAAATATATCTTTATTGATTTCAGAGAGAGGAAGGGAGAGGGAGACAGAGAGATAGAAACATCAATGATGAGAGTCGTCATTGATCGGCCGCCTCCTGCACGCCCCCCACCGGGGATGGAGCTGCAACCCGGGCACGTGCCCCGACTGGGAATTGAACCTCGATCTCCTGGATCCTAGGTCGATGCTCAACTGCTGAGCCACGCCTGGCCAGGCTTATCTTGGTATCTTTATCCATCTAGAAGTTTCACATGATGTTATTTACTCTCACAGCAACCCCATGAGATAGATACTATATAACTTAAACTTTTAAAATTTCTTAAAATTTTAAACATACATTAAAGTACATCAAATATTATATGTACCTTTATTACTCACCACTAAGACTCTCCTCTCAGTTCCTTCCTCTCCCTTCCCAGAGATAATCACTCTCCTGAAATACATTCTTATGTGTATTTTGTACTTTTATTATAAAGGTATATATCTCTCCCCAATTGTTTAATGTGTTTAGATATATTTTATGTATCCTTTCACATTTTGCTTTTATATTTTTAACTGTACTAAGTTTTCAAGATTTAACTGCGTTGAAACATATAACTAGTTTAGTGGTTCTCAAAGTATGGTCCCTGGACCAGCAAGCAACATCAGTAATACCTGAGAACTTGTTAGAAATGTAAAGTTTCAGCCCCATCCAAGACCCACTGAATCAGAAACTCTAGGGGTAGGATTCAGCAAAAAAAAAATTTTTTTTTTTTTTTTTACCGAGACCTCCTGTCAATTCTGATTGCACCATAAAATTTGAGAACTACTGCTCTAATCTATTAATTTTAATTGCTGTATAGTATTTTATTGTACAAATAAGCCACAATTTATATATCTGTACTGGAGAATCGATTTTTTTTTTTTTTTTTTT